TATACGAAAAAATAAAACAATAAACATACTATAGATAAATCCTATAATAATTTAATTTAACAAATCTTTAATAAATTTTGATAATAACATTTAAATTGCATAAGATGATTGGAATAAATTAGACCATTTTTATTTCTTTAGTTTCAACAATTCTAAACACAAATATTAATAGTATAAAATAAATATTGGAACGATGAAGCCGGATCCGAAGATACCAGTACAGAATGGTGGTATAAATTATAATGATCAAATGATGCAAAAAGAAAACTGCATATAACACTTTTTATATCAGAATTGTTCACAGATGATGTTTAAAATATAGAGTTCATTGATTTTTTTTCACTATTGAACTATTAATTAGCTGGCAACTGTTGATTATTTATTTTTAAGTGCGGTTTTTATTAAGCTCTATTTTAAATCCACCAACGTTCATCGAAGCGAAAGAAACCCGATTTATATTTTATACAAGTATTAAATGGAGTTAAGATTAGTTAACTTTTCAAGGTTTAAAAAAACATTTTAAGTCAGTTATTCAAATATATGTACGTATATACCTTTGTTCTATGTATTCCCAGTACAGTTATTGGAAGTTTATGTTTCGTATCAATTTTAAAGATTGTAAGCGAAGCGATGAAAGTATTGATTTTTTAATTTTTAGCTATAGTAGTAACGTAAATACGAATGTTCAAATTATTATTTTAATACAATTATAAATAATATATATTTACACGATTTTTAAATGTTTTTACACATTATTTTGTATATTTATAATGTATTAACTATATTCCAATTATATAAATAAATTGAACAAAAATATAGTATAATTTATTTTGTACAATAAATTAAACTTTGACCAGTACAAAAATGAAATTTAGAATTACATTAATTTTAGGCGATAAAGCTTCGTTTATACCTATAACACATCCAAAGTGTTAGTGAATAGGCCTTTAAATATGGTAATCTGTTTTGCATATTATTAGCTTGGTAAACACACCATAAGACTGAATTGTGTTTTATTAGATAAAGATAGCATAGCTTTTAATACATGATTTTATTTTAAATGTTTGAGGGAATAGGTTTTTAATTTTAATATTTTATACGTTTTGCAAATGTTTGAGTAGAATTATAGTTATAAAAAAACATTGACATTGCTTAATTTAAATTAATAATCTAAATGTAAAATGTATTTAAACGATATAAATAAATAGCAACGACTAGAATATTTAGTAAACCAGTTTTGGACAGCCCACCATAGATCGCTATAGAATATTTTAAGCGGTCACAATCTCATTGCTTAAAAATTAGCTGCTGAAAAAATATACGTGTTCGTATGTTCCGTTATTATTTTTTGCATCATAGCATAGTACTATGTAGGCACATCTAGAATAATAAAACACAATAACATTATGCTTAAAGAATATTTTAATTTAGGTACCTACCTATTATTTATATTTGGATGTATTAAATTATTTATAATTAATTATAAAATGACCGCACACAATTTATTTATTCTTATAAATTTACTTCTCACAAGGTGGCACAAACTATTATATCCTATACAAAAAAAAGTTGCAAAGTAATTGTATGAAATATATTTTGCTATTTCAATGATTTTAGGTGTTTATCGCGTTCATATTTTCAAGGTTTTTGAAAAATGACTTCCGAGTCACAGTTATATAATTCGCTATTAATCACATTATTTCATAAATACACCTTGCATATTATATATAATTTTCATATACACAGTTCCGCAACTACCGTAGTTCAAAAGCACCGCCTGATGGGCTTAGATTTAGAAGATTTATTATGTCATTAAAAAAAAAAATACTATGTATTTAGAAATAAATAGTTTTCAAACATTCCTACACCTATATTGTTAAATTTTACTTGTATGCAAGTATAATAAAATTCTATTTTTATACGACTATACAGAACAGAAGAATCGCTGTTCCCACCCAATACCCTTACCTAACCCAATTTAAGTCAAAATATACTTAAAAGTTTAACACAATTAAACATTTGGTGTGATCGTAATGCTGTCCACTGCAGCTGTCGCTCAGAAGTGTGGATTACGATTAATAGAGCTCCTACAAAATCCCGAAAATTTCAAAAATATTGTTATATTTCAATTTCGCAAGACCGCTTGAATACGGCATTACGTTAAAATAGTCGGTAATAACATATTTCATTAAATTGTCTAATATTTAAAATTTTGACAGACAATTATAAACTTGAACAATGAACATATTTAACTGTACTCCAAAGACGTAGTAAAAAATATTTGTAGTCCGGTATTTTGATACTTAGCCTTCTCCTATAAAAATATAAAAATATTTCAAACGTTAACATTTTACTATCAAGACTAGCGATTTAAGAATTCAGGCCTCATAACTTGTAGGTATAATAACGAGATTTATTACGAAAAGTTTCCTAGCAAGATTGAAATATTTTTAGGTGCCTAAAAATTACAAACGCAAATATGCCCATACATAAAAAAGTTTCCGGCGATAGAATGTATACACTTGATGGTTATCCATTGTTATTCATTAATTCAAATTCTGATTAGGTATCGGAATTTTTAAGAGCACTATCGAAATCATTTTTCAAAATTGTTTTTTATTTGACACATTTTAAGATTTGGCGATCACGTTGCTATTTCATCAAGGTTAAACACCTTTGGAAATATACATTTATAAATTTATACATTGTAAACATAGGCCGTGGAGGCGTCCGGCTAGTAGGCAGAATGTACAAGTAAATTTCGAATAATTTAATATACCTACCTACTTAAATTACTAATGTGAGTCTAAGCTAGGAATTTCCTTAGGAAACGGGTGAGGTGGACCGGATGTGATGATGGTCGTGAATACCCGAAATGAAGTGTATAGACTCATGTCATTGCACTGCGCAGCATTTTACTCACTCGCAACGGTTTGATAATAAATCGAAAGGCACGTGGTTGACGTACGACACCGTTTTCCTCAGTCTGACTTACAGACGTCGTGAAAATCATCATGGTTACCAGCTCTCTATATTATCATCGTATACAGCAAAATAATTCCCATCTTTAACATACTATTATTATACACTGTTATCGTAAATTCCTATTCGGCGGGGTCGTGTGGTCCGTGTTAGGAATTCCTATTGTTGTTCACCAAACTAAATAATATTGCTTAGGTTATACGATTTCACTGTCTAGTTATAATTCATTAATAGTCGCATTTGAATAACCATCTAACCGAAGGCGGAACAGTAGTTTGATATTTCCAACCATTTGGTATATTGTGGTTAAAGGTTAACCATGGAAACTACAAGGAATGGGGGCAGTATAAAAACACCTCTCACTGAAAACGAAACTTTATTCATTGAGAATCTGTCGAGGCATGGCTCATCGAGAAAGACGGTAGGTAAACTATAATATTTATGGCGGATTCTCCTAGCCATCGAACATGGTACACATTGTATACACGGTATATGTTCGCAAACGGATAAGCCCGAGTTCCCAGTTACTTCGTTGGTCGTGTCGTGTCGTGTGCCTTTATCGTATTCTGATTGGTTTTTATAATCGTGGTATCATTTACTAACCATGATCTGCCAGGACATTTTCAGAGTTTTGCTGCCGAGCTTGATTTTTGGACGCGACACTACTCGACAAGACAGACAACGTTGCCGTAAACCTGGCTTAAATGTTAAATGTGATAATAATTTCTATTGTCAGTAAATTTTTCTGATGAAATAGCTTTCGTTTCGGGCATGTTTATTCACCACTTCCTTCGAGTCGTTAGATTATCGATCAAACCGTTTTCGCCTCTTCGTCCTTGTCTATAATGCGGCCGGCGAGGTGTGACACAGAATATAACAGTTGTACAGTACCTTGATTATGTCATAGTACTGACAATTTTATTTAGAACTAAACGTCGACATCTCAGTTAGTATCATATTTAATTTACGGGATACGTGATTCAGTATTGAACATCGATTTCAAACGATGCTGCGTCATCGCTAAAATCTTGTTGTTCCTTCCTACACTAGTACGTGAATATAGTATTTATCTTGACTTTGTACTACTACTCGAAATCGATTTTAGAAACTATAGCCATCCAAATTCCTGCGAAGTACCAGTGATGTGAAGTATAATCTTAAATTTGAGAATAAATGATTAAAACTCACTGTAAACAATCTATATACGATATAAAATATAATATATTATATTATTTAATGGAATTCAAACAATAATATTTTTGGAGTCTAAGTTTCAACTAGGGGCTAAGCCCACCTACTAGAGCCTATATGACAATATAGCTACGGGGAAAATCCCTCTAAAATATTTTGTGCCACTCCGTATACCTTTATATTAGTGGTGTCACTAATATCCGGATTCCAATACTATTCGGATAATCCGGATATTCAAATCCAAATAATAAACGGATAAAATCCGAATTATCCGAATAATCCGAATAATCCGGATATTTTAAACTTGTTGATTAATTATTTGTTATTTAATTTATAAGTATTAGACTGTTTCATTTAAGACGGTAAAAATTAAAATTAAAAAATAATAGTTTGACTCATTGACTCAAAAATGTTAGTAAAGTTATATCATTTTATCATAATATGTTATGGAATTATTTATCGTTGAGAGTATTAAATTATCTCAAACATATTAGGCTTTAATACGTTTTTGCAATGTAAGTTTTATCTTATTGTGGATATTAGTGCTAGATTATATTTTGATTAGATAAAATTATTTCAACTGTCGATTTTATGATCGTTTTAGTCGTAATGGCATTTAATGTTAATTTTCGTTCTGTCTGTATTTTATTCGTCAACTATCAACATCATAAGACAATATTAATATAAATATTTGCTTAATTATTTTATTTTATATTAATATCGTTTGAACAATAACTATGAATCGTAGTAACGTTTGGAAATATTTTAATCACGGTGAAACAAATGAAACAGCGACGTGTAAAATATGTAGTCAAATTTTGAAAAATATGGGGTCTACTTCTTCTTTGTGGTATCACTACAAATCGTGGCATAATACTAATAATGGAATCGATGCAGTACAATTAACTGAGGAGAGGTAAGCCATCATTAATTATTTTATGTTAAAAATAGGTAATACAACTATTATATAATATTCTTTTTAAAATTTCTAAATTTTAAACTTAAGTAGCGAAACAGAACAGATTTCGACATCTTCAGATATGTCATCTTCGACATCAATACCAATTACCAACAGTAGTATCACAACCACCCCAAAAACGTTTAAAGAGATCTCATGTTTCAACTGCAATTAAATTTAGACCTGTAGATAAAAGTCGTGCCGAACTGATTACTCAGAGTATTTGTCAAATGATTACAATGGATATGCTACCATTTAGTACGGTAGAAAACAAAGGATTTCGAAAATTGATGTCAGTTATTGAACCAGACTATAAAGTACCATGTAGAAATACAATCATCGTTCGTATTGAAAAAATGTATGATGATAAAATGATGGAACTAAAGCGTAATCTAGAAAATATAAAAGGTGTAGCATTAAATACGGATGGCTGGACGTCTTTGGCTGTAGATTCTTATATAACAATCACATGTCACTACTTTAATGAAAATTGGGAACTATGTACTCAAGTATTAGGGTTTGAAGAAATGCGAGAAAACCATACGGCAGATAATATACAAGACAGTTTAATTAATATTATTGAAACATGGAATTTAACCGGTAAAGTCATAGGGATAAGTCACGATAATGCTGCAAATGTAACTAATGCTGTACGAAAATTACAAGAACGTGATATTTATTCAAGTCCGTGTGCCGCCCATACATTGCAATTATCTATTAATAAAGGTCTTGAGAATAGAATGTGTAGCCATTTATTAAAATTAGCCTCAGACATAGTTGCTGCTTTTAGGCACTCTCCAAAACGAACAAATGCTTTAGAAAACAAAATCAGTACACTACATAATCAAAATTATTGTTATTATTTAAATATTTAATATTTGCTAAGACATGATCTATATTCTATAATATGAAATAAAACATTATTATAACTACTACCAACTGCATCAACCGTCAACATATTTTTGAAACCTTCCTTTATAATAATTAGATTAGATATTTATATAAACATTTAAATTATTCGAATTATTCGGATTATTCGGATTATTCGGTTATTAAATTTTGGATTCGGATATCCGGATAATCCGGATATCCAAAAATCCGGATTTTTGACATCACTACTTTATATAGCATATTAATATAATACATAATATTTATAGTGTACCTATGTTATATAAATAGTGATCTATGTTTTTACGTGCTTAGTAAAATATTTATGTAGCCACGTAGCCACAGTAAAACATAATAATATCATTATTTTAAAAACATAATATCTATTCTAGTACCTATCTTTATTGCTATATGTAGATTGTAGGTATTATAGCAATAAGTACCTCTTCATATAGTCTATAAAAATACCATGATAATAACATGCACAACTATAATTTTCTGAATTTCTAAGATATCGGTTAGAATTTGGAAAGCATATACGTAGGTGGCTAGGTACATTATTTTTCTTAATTTATTTGTTACGGATTCTATATACGGTTATTCAATTTAAAGTTATGCCATATATTTTATTTTCCGATTTATGGACAGGTTTCGACGAGTTGTGCAAAAGTTTACAGTTTAAATACCTACATATTTTTTAATTTAAACATGGATTATTTATGATATATTATATTTATCTTATTGTTTTTTAGAGTTAACCTATAAAGGGTAAAATTTAAGTTTTTTTGCTGTGTTAAGGAACTAGTTATTTTCACATAGTCATCTTAGGATTTTTTGTAAGTAATTTTGTACACTAGATTATGGTGGTTTTATATTATATATGCATATGTCCTCATCCTAACAAAAAGTACTACGTAACATGATAGTTTACCGTGTTTCTCAAAATCATATATTTGGCTTATATGTATAATTAATTTAATAGGTATTAAAAAGCGTAGGTGATAGAGTAATCCCTTAATCCCTTGAGGTAGACCTCATAATATTGAAGTTTCTTGACTTAAATCACTGTTTATTTGAACTCGTTGTTTGTTATTTTAAAAAATGAACTTCATAAATTGCATACTGTTCCTTGTTATTTACTTATAAATTATAGGTAGGTAACTATTTACTAAACAATACAAGTAATCAATAAACAACTGGATTATCTATCTTCTATTTAAGCAACAGTTATGTTGCAGGTAAATAGTTATTGTTTTATATTTACTAACTAAATCCATTTTTTAATTAAAAAAATACAGTCAAAATAAATTTTTATATACATTTTACAATTCAGGTTTTATAATTATTTACCTCAGATGTTTCTCAAAATTATTATTTAGGCAACTGAAATATGTAGGTCATGTAGGATGATATAGGTCTCATTTAATCAACAATTTTTTTTTAATACCGAATTTGTTAAAATTTTTCACTAATATTATGTGGTCTCTACTTTATAATACCAAATAAATATAGATCCAAATAAACAGTAACACATTTTTTGAGTTCGGAAAGAATTATAAATATACCTTAATACTTTATCAATGGTACTGTTGCAGTAGCTTAGTCTGTGGTTTTATTAAGTCTATATCATTATTAACAAGATAATTCAATTTGACTGGGTATATATTTATGTTTTAATCATTTTTCAAATAATTTAGTTAATATTTAAATATTTGTTAGATTGGGTGGTAATTTGTTTAGCATTGTTCAACTAGCTCCCTTTTTAGTGCATTGATATTGTAACTGAAATTTTAAAGAATTCTGGTATAATAGACAATATTTCTAAATTATTAAAAATGAGTGATCAATGATAATGGCTTAATATAATATGTCAGAAAACAATTTGTTTTACCTAATTAAAGTGAAATTACTTTGTATGTAATTACAAGTTAATAACATTTCTATACATTTATGTTGGCTATTTTAAGATATTTCGATTTATATGCAAGTTATGAGTATTTCAAAATTGTCAAATATTGAGTTAAAGTTAAATATTGTAAAAACCTGGACGTCCAAACTACAAAAACAGATAATATTCTTAACTTTTTTAGTTTATTAGTAATCTATAAGAGCTTTTATTGTTTTTATAATTTCTTCAACAATAATTTAATTTAATTTATCAAATAATACAACGATGGTATTTGAATTTTCAATTTGGCTCAAAATTGTTTCTTATATTTTATATTATCGTTATAGATACCTACATATGTTTTGTGATGTGTTTTTTTAAAGTTAAAGTTAAATCATGGATATTTTTTTTATTTATCTGAAGTGTGAAGTTTTTTCCCTATATTTATTATTAATATTTTTAATTGGTAATTTAGTCTTATAACAGTTAGTGGTGTTTCAAATTATTTTCTAATTACTTTTATAATGGATTAATTTTCGGATTTATCGAGTTCAAATATGTATAATAGCTGTTTTTTGCCATTTTTATAGTGCTAGTTACTTTATTCCTATATTTTAAATAATGTTTTTTAAATTTTTCATTTAATAGCAGTTTCTTCGTTGAGATGTGTAATGCACCTCTATCTATAATTATTTATGTGCAGTATGTGTCTGTATTTTCTATGTAACCATATGTCTACATCATATATTCATATTCAGGTACAAATGTCAAATATTGATACATATCATATGAAGGTACAAAAATTAATTGAATTTGTAAATAATTATACTGTGTATAAATTCTGCCTGACAGTAAGATAAATTACTACTATTGTAAATGTTGCAACGGGGGTGGGAAGATTATGATTAAAATAAAATTTGGCTAGTTGTGTTTTTATATTCAATGTCTACAATTTGTATTCATACCTACTACTTGACATTTGTATGTTTTTAAATTGTAAATACAGTGGACGCCGCTTATAAGACTCACGGATATAAGGTTCAGTCGCTTATTAGACTCAAAATTGTCTGAAACGGTCCGGACGTACCCAAATACGTTATAAAAAATTCGGTTATAAGACTCAACAGTTCGTTTATAAGACTCAAATTTTGTAAAAAAAAAAATGGTAAAAAACAAACATTTTTGGTCAACATTTAGAAGTAAATTAATGTTTTTTGCTTCATTATGCGTGTATGTACAACAAATTGTAAAATTGTATCATCTTTCACATTTTCCAATATACTTCCGGAATATTAGTTTATAACTAAAAAAAAACAAAATCACAATTTTTTTTCATAAATAATAAATAGGTACATTATACAATTATACATACTTTTAATTTTTTTATCAGAATTTTTTTAATTTATTCAATAATTCGTATGTCATAATATGTAATATGTATTAGAGTATTAAAATTAAAGAAAAATATGTAATAAAATAAAATTCATAAATATGTAATTAATTTTTTTTCCCACTTCGCCTATAAGATTCATTCTGTTATAAGACTCACTTTGTGCTGGTCCCAATGTGAGTATTATAAGCGGCGTCCACCGTATATTTCAAGACCAATGTACTCGTTAAATTGTTCAAGTATTAAATTATTTAACGGGAAACTGAAAAATAGCTCTAAACCCATGTACAATTTAATATATAATGATGACATATATAATATTTTTCTTTCTATCAATTAATGCGTCGACTATTACTATTATATACGCTACGTGTACGATGTACAGGTAATTTCTGAGATACATGAGAATTGGATATGTAATTGAGCTGGTGTGTTACATGTGTGGGGCGATATTGAGTTTGAAAGCAATGATAAATCATCGCATTCGCAAATTGTTTCTGAGTGAAGCTTAACACGCTAAATCTATTTTATCAACCACAATGTTGCGTAGTATATATATTTCTGTAGTTTATCTTTCCGTTTAAAGAACTTATCGAGAATATTGGATAATGACTTCTTTTAAGTGTCAATGATATGAGATTTCGGACCAATAGAGGTATTTGGAACTATAGAGATATTGCCATAGTGTCCATAAAAGTGTCAAAAGAAAAAAATCCTGTAAAACTACTTCTTCATCGCACTAGCTCAGTATATAAAATATAAAATGTAATTATAGGTATAATGACAAAATAGGTAATCTATTTCAACGATTTGAAATACTTAAATAAAAATAACTTGCAATTAACCAATTAATTGAAACACACTTTCACAAGTTAAGAAAAAACACATGTTATGTAAAAACAGAATGGTTTTTTTTATGAAATTAAAATATACTTACGATCTTTAAACCTAAAATGGTATGATGAATAATAAATAATTTATAATTTATTAGATTAATAACATTTATAAGTCGAAAAATAAAAAAGCTCTCACAGCCACCAGACAATGAGAATGCTATCAAATTATAATATTTTATTATTGAAAGAAAACTGATTAATTGGTTATTGTTAGTTTAAAAATTAAATTGTATTAAATTTAAAGAAATAATAAAAAATATTCTTATACTACGTAACTAATGGCCTGTGTTGCCAATATTTATTTACGACCAATAAAAAAAAAAAAACCAATATTCTTATAAATTCAAACAACAGTTTAAAAATGTCCTTATCTTGAAATTTCAATAACATAGTTAAGTAAAATGTTATCATTTGCATCAGATCAAAAAAAAATAATAACTTGTTTTAATAATGCATTTATAAATGTGGTACAAAACATGAAAATGTAGATCAGATAAATTAATTTCAATATAAAATGATAAGAAATAACCTTGGGCAAAATTGTAATCGTTTAATTAGAATAAACTTATTTTAATAAATTATATTTTACTTTCGTTCATTTGTTTAGGATAATTTTTTTTTAATCTGCTCTCATAAGACCCAATCTTTCGAAAGTAAAAAGTCAAGTATGTCGTCGTCATAAAACAAAAGCTATCTAATTTTGTTTAGATTTTAAACTCTAAAAAAATAGATGCATTATTTATGTATAATATTTTTAAATTATATAAAAACATTTAACATCATAAATATTATGATATAGGTAACATTTTTGTT